AGTATACAAGTTTTATAATAGTTAAACATCACAACGTCTTTGTGACGTTTGCCGCGAACCGTATCTGGTTTGTTATAATATTTTTTGTAACTCATTTCGTATAAAACATTTTGTAGCTCGCCGAAAACTATACCGTTACCAGTAACGCTATCGACATTGACCGTGAAAGTATACGTTTTAAATACAAATTATTTTCATTTTCCGGTTTTTTTTTTTTTTTTTTCACTATTTATTTCCACGCGAACCTATAGTATTTTAGAACGGAAAAACGACGAGCAGAGGTATAGGTATACTTTAAACTATGCGTTCGCCGTTTCCGAGTAAAGAAGAGTATTGTAATATAAGTTTATCGAATCTAATTAAACGTTTGTATTTATTTGATTCCATGCGAAACGGTTTGTACGTGATTTTCCCCTTGAAAACAATTATGAACGGATATAGCAATACCGCAGGTATACTAATATGGTAATTTTCATGTTTCAATTAAATATTAAATAATAGGTGATCTGCAGTAATTGTTATTGGGTCCTATGAACACTAAATAACGAGAGGGTGCGCATAAACATTATGAACAAATGCAGTATATGATAAAAAATATGTGTAAGCAAATGCAGCAGCTTACACATATCTTATCGTATTACGTATTGTGAACCGTGTTTCGGATAAGTTCGTCATATTTTGCTTTTTTTTTTTTTCACTATTTTACTTAGGATATCGTCTACTTCTTATTAACTATTTATTTAGTTATTTAGATATTCAATCGGGGATATATCAGCATATGACTTTTAAAACTTAAATCCAACACATTGACATTGTAGGCATTCACATCGCATACCTACGTCGCATTAAAAATTACATATTTAAAAGGTATAAAAAAAAAAAAAAAATGGAAAATACGTGTATGGTACATGTACATGTGTATGGTTGTAATGATTTCGAACGAAAACGGCATGGGTTCCAATAAGGAAAATAATACGTAAGAACTCCTCACACGTGCTTTATGTTCTACAGTCTTGAATAATATCTAAATTAAATAGTTTTGCGATAGGAAAAAAACCAAGAGATATGGTAGAACAATACTCGTAATTGTAGACACTATATGACACATATGATGGAACAAAGCTTATGGTCAAATAATGTTACTGAATTGCGTGATATCCAATTGTAAGAGATAAAGGATAATTGATGAGGCGACGAAAACGATTGTAAGATCATTGGTGTGTATTATTGATTACATTTTTTATTTAATTTAATATATTTTGTTTGTTCCATTAATTTCGTTACGATAGTGATGTTTTAGATCATAATATATATTTATAATCAATTTTTGATACGAATCGATATAATATAGGAAATGAGTCATCAATATCATTGGGGTATGAATATATTTCCCACAATACGTTCCGAGCAATTATTGATATTTATAGAATAAAACGTTGCATTCGTTTGCGTTTATGTACACTATATGTTGATATACATGTTTAATCTTGAACGATAAAATAATATAATATAAAACGAATGATTGAAGTATGTATTCGTATAAACGAAAAAAATAATGTTATGACTTTGTCATTTTGAATCACGTATATAAAATATGATTGTATGTTATTTGATTTTTGAAGTACATTTAAATTTATTCATGGATTGACATTGAACTTTTAAGATTAAATATTTTTAAAAAAATGATTGCCAAGTGTTCAAATAAAATATATTTTGAATAATATTAAAATCCGTATTCCAAATAACATAATGAATACTTATCGATAAGTATGTATTTATTTAGAATCATTAGAAATAAGAGTCTACGAATCCTCATGTATTTCGAATACCGAAATAAGACTTTGTTCATACGTAATGGTCCCATAGTATTTGGTTGTATATTTTTCGTTATTTTATTCAATTTAATTTTACGTATTTGCCATACAAGAAAACCATATATATAAAAAATTAGAAAAACGGTTTATTACAATTATTATAATTGCGAGATTTTTTCACTAGAATGTAAATTTATTAATGTTTTAAGTTTACAAATTAATTATAAATGGTTTGCTAATGTTTAAAATGGACTCTTTCATTACTATGTTTTTAAATTTAATTTACAAATGCTATATCAAAATTCTCACGTGTAATACATCACAGTAAGTTAAATTAAAAGCTAAAAGTTAAAGTTATTCTTAGTTAAGTAATTTAACTTTTAAAAATTATAAAATAAATTAACTAGTTTCAAATATTAAATGATGAAATATTATTTTTGCAATTATAATGCATGCATACAAGCGTTATTTATAGTTGCGTGTTTTCTATCAAGGCGAATTGTAGTCCGATCGTTACCCCTAAATTATACTGCGTTAATTAGTTATTTAATTAGTCTTGAAGCTGTGTCAATGGGGACTTGGGGCAGTTTTATGGTTTTCATTATTATTTACATATCTGATAAACGTATTATGGCATACCCAAACCTATTATAAAAATATGCATATATTATTAGACTACTTTTTATAACATTTATTGTTATTAAAAAAATTACGGCATATAAAATAAAACGGTTAATATTAAATGAGATAAGAAGGTTATTCAAAATGGAGCATTCGAGTTGGGTCCCCAGTATTAGGGGCTAGTCGCAGGTAGTGTACTAGTTGGGTCCCGGATTTTTATAAGTACTACTTTATTTGGGTCCCGGATTTCTATAGGTACTACACTACTTTCTGAATTTTTTTGTAAGTACTACATTATACTAACATTTTCCTTCCCATTTTAATAGACTTAGGACCATTTATGATCTATTTAGAGCACAGGTATGGTTAAAAATGTTTTTTAAAGTGTTTTTTTTTGTTTTTTAGTTTTTTTTCCATTAAAATATAAATTATTTGAATTGTTGGTAAAAATATTAAAAATGTTTAAATCATTATATAACATAAATAAAAATAAATGGAAAAGAAACGAAAGACTATAAAATAAAAAAAAAAAAAAACAATAAAAACATTTTTTATCATACCTGAAGTTCAAATAGATCGTAGACAGTCCTAAGTCTGTTAAAATGGAAAGGAAAATGTTATTATAATATAGTACTTACCAAAAAATATTTAGGAACTAGTGTAGTACCTATAGAAATCCGGGACCCAATTTGTGTAGTACCTAAAATAATTCGAAACTCAATTAGTGTAGTAATTTTAAATTCGGGACCCAATTCGGATGGAGCCATTAAAAATTGTATAATGTTTCACATTCCCTGATATCCCTGAACCATCGTCAATTCACCGCCCATAATCCACTAACTATTTATGATGTATTCCTCGATTATAGGTGTTTTTTGATCTTTCGTCCTACCTATGTTATCCGTATCTAATCAGCACTTAAATATTTTTCTGTTCCATACTCATTTCATCTTTTTTTCAATTTCAAATATATCGTTTCCTTTCTAAAACAACCCATTATTACATCTGTCATATGGTTTTTAATCAAAACGTGAACTTAATCATTCAAGTTTATTTTAGTTTAAAAACATTTTTGTGACAAAGATTTTTTCTCTCAGTAGTTAAGTAATAATTATTTCCGTTTGTCACAGAGGCGTATACCATAGTACGAAAACAATTATTAAGAACAATTTTATATAATACATTCGATAATAAAAACAAGGAAAATAATAAATTGTCCACGAGCAATAGCACAAAAGTCAGGGAAAAATCATTCAAGATTTTGAGATCAAATCGGCAAAATTAACTAATTAAGCCAACATAAAAAGAAACTCATTATGCTAGCTAACTTGACGAAAAATGATAATGCCATTCGAGTTTTAATCATTACAACATTCGGCGGGATTTAATTCCAACAAAAAATAAGTAACAGCATTGTAATATTAAAAAACAATATTAATCGTCGTTGGTAACAAATAGTAGTACATCACAACAAGGCGTAAGTGCTGCAATACGAACAGTGTATTATGAGTAGATAGTCACGGTACCGGCAAGGCGCAGTTGTTACCCTGGTACAGTTTATTCAACCGAATTAATACACAACAACAACAGCTATTGTTATTGCGTGATTGTTATTCCAGGGTTCTAGTATTTATCTGGACGTTATCAGCTATGAATTTATACGTAAAAGGTTTTTTTTTTAATTCGAATACTCGAATAATCTACGCGTATAAATGTTACTGTGCCCCAACATTCATCTTGACAATTTAGAAAGAAATTCAATCGTTTCGACTGCTGTATTTTTTCGTAATTTTCCGAAAAAAATATTTTGATCCTTGAATAAATTTTAATAAACATTTATCGATGTCCAAATAAGCAGTGGTATTAATATTTTTCGTATTTCCACAGTTTAACGCTGAAATTATATTTTTCTGTTCGACAGTTGACGATTATGTGTTTGGCAGAATATTGAATTCATTGGCGATGTCACATATTTTGGGGTCGCCTTTACTAACTGTACTAAACGAACTTTGTCCGAAATTGTAGGAACGTTTGAATTACGCTAATTCTCCATTTCAATACAAATGAACGACTACAAGTATTGATGCGACCCAATCCCTATACTGAACGTAGTGCTCAATTATCTGTTCCAACTGTAATTAAAATATTATTTGTGTAATCAAGATATCGAAAAACGGATTGATCTTACATCGATTTGTCGAGAGTAATCGCTTTCGAGTGTGTAATGGTAATTTTAAGGGGATAGCAGTGCAGTTCGAGATAAAGAAAAGTTCGACATAAAAATAATTTGACATGAGAATATTTTGCTATAGTACGTTTAGCGGATCGCTCGCACAACAGTTTGTTGAAAGTTTTTAATAATACAGTACGTATACTGCACACTACACTCACTGGTTATGTGTTATCGAGATACTGTACATGCACATTTATTTACATTTATATTATTCATCGTTTCTTCTCAACGGTTATCTTCGTACCGTTACCGTTGATAGTTTTTTTTTTCAATTATACATTACGTTTTAATGTTTTGTAAAACTATAATAACGTATACCGTTGCTTTTTCAGTCCCAGCGAACACTTTGGCGATGATGCGGCTAAGAATATTTTCCGGAAGGCTATGAACTTCGGTCGAAGTAAAAAGGACGTGAAGGCGTGCCACCAAGAGTATAAAAAATGCAGATTCAACACGAGACAAATGTTCAAACTGTTTACTTCGTTCATGTAACATTAACTGACGTTTTTGTTTCCATCAATTTTGTATAAGAGCTTGTATAAATGTTGTGCCAAATACGTGTATTATTATTATCACTACTATTATTATTGTTATTTTCGTTATTATTATTATTATAATTATTATTATTATTATTATTATTATTATTATTACAATGATTATTACTATTGTTACCGTTACTCGTTAGTCAATTCGGTATTACGACCAAATCAAAATTCTACACGATTACGTTAATGCACCGGTATGAATAATATTTATCGAAATTCAGAGGACGAACTGTTATGGAACAGGGGTTAAACGTTTTAAAATATTTTCAAATAATGATCAAAACTAAGCGATTGATTTTGCTATTGTCATAATAAATGTTTCAACGTTAGTAAATTTACTTACTTTACTTACTTTCACATGCTTATATTTAACTAAAGTTCAATATATTATGATCATATGTTGTGTCATATGAGTTTTGTTTGTCATCGAAATAAGACAGTATTATTACTTTGTTAACGATGATTAGTACTTTATATCCAAACATTTGTGTATACACCTATCCGAAACCTGTTAATTCTAAATTTCGTAGTGAGTTGTTGTTAAATAAAATATTATTTTACCAATGTGATATATAACGTACAACACGCTTAGTCATAGTTAATACTTACTGCAAGACCATAATTCATTGATCGCATACTTCCGTATACTATGCTGGTATATAGAGAGTGGTGTAATGGTTGTCATGGATCTGGAAAATTCTGAAGTAGGAAGTTTCAAGTCTCTAGCTAATGGTAATTTTAACTAATCGTATATTTAAAACGAAAACAATTAAATGTTGTTCTATACTGCTATTACTAAATAACGGTGCCAAGCCTAGCACAATTAGTGTCCGGTGCCAAGAATAATTTTTAGAGCCCCCATCCCCTCTATCAAATATTTTCATACTTATAGGCTGTAACAGTGTTTCCCAAAGTGAGTGATATCGCTTCCCCGGGGGTGCTAGATCTATCCAAAGGGGGCGATGGAAGTTACAAGTTTAATATGTGAGCATTTCATTACAAAAGGGGGCGCTGACCGTTTTAACAACATTAAGTAGTCATAACATTGTACTGCAAATCATTGTACGTGTATAAGTTCAAGGAAGGATACCAAGCGTTGTGCTACAAAAGCAAATACCTATACTTTATCCTAGATCGTGGGCTGTTGTACAAACATTTTTTATAGGATTTCCAGTATCCTACTTGGTTGAACGTGGGTTTAGAGCAGTAACCAATTTATTCACAAAAAAAAAAAAAGACAACGGTTACAAATAACCAATCGTGGGGACTTAAGAATGCTTCTTACGAAAATTGTACCTAACATCAATCAATTTCTAGTAAAACACCAGCCAAAACCACATACGTCTCATTAGGATAACTTTTTTTTATTTACACTTATATATTATACAATATTGTGATAAAATTAATACTTATTTATGAACAATAAATTACATTTTTCATTGTATGTTTGTATAATAGTAACTTTTTTTAAGGAGGCGTCTGTCAATTTTTTTTTTTTTTAAGTGGATGGTAAAGATAACATTTCGAGAACCACTTTGCTATAAGGATATTACATAAGAATAGAGGGTTCTATGTTACTATCGGGATCATGGCGTTGGACACGTTAAATATTATGAATTAAATAATATGGTTAATTTCAGTAATATTACTTAAATTATGAAAAAGCTTTTTGCCTCCCAGTGATCACGGCACTCGCACTTCTCGCACCTCCCCTAGGCACGGCTCTGTTAAATAATATATTATAAAACGCGACTGATCTATCGAATAACTGGAAGCCACTGTGAAAACGATTTAAAAATAATAAAATAATATTTTACAATATTTTTTTACTTCGTTGATGGATATCAAACGTAACAGATTATAACATCATAGAAGACTTTTTCTATACGGGTAATGTTACTTTGATGCCATTTAATTGTAATTTATTTATTGTTCGATGTTCATTTTAATAAACGAGGAAAGCGAGGAATGCATAGTTTTACAACGATTTGTTGTTCTTATGTGAATACCTTTCTGAGCAGTAAAACGCACTCAATAGTTTCGAACAATGCCATTATTTAAATTTAAATTAGGTTCGTCGTGTAATAATTATGTATGATTGCAAACGGGTCACGTTTCGCAAAGTAAAATATAATTTTCAAAGCGCAGATAATTCTCGTCAAAAAACTGGGAAAATGTTGAACTTCTCTTTCGTTACAAATAAAATGTATGTAATTGATTTTACTTTTCCAGTGACGTAGTGCATACATAATATATCATATTATAGGAATAGTATCGAAAAAGAGTCGAAACGTTTGTGTTACAACTATATTTGTAAATATAGTATAGTATTAGTATAGTAGTATAGTATAGTATAGTATTAGTATAATATATATAGTATAGTATTTACATATAAATACTGATGTTCAAGATAAAAAAAATTATGAACTTTTTAAAGTTCTAGTGGAATTCGGTTGTTCATCGTATATCACGATTACGCATCGAGAGACACATAAACAACGCCAGTTGAAAATCAAAGGGAAAAAATCGATCAAGTGTCAATTTGTTTAGAAAAATGTTGTAAAAAAGGTGACTTTATACGAATAGTACACTTGAAATTATCCGTTATATCGCGGAGCTATGGTTTTCAAATAAAAAAAATGTATAAAAATAATTCAATTGATAAGGTGTACACACGGAAAAAATGTATTGACAATTATCTTTACATCCTCGTTAACATGGTTAGTTCAAGGGCAGGGGCGTATTTTATGGGCGGCGAAAGGGGTGATCACCCCCTCCCCTGAATTCGTGTTTAAGGAATCGATTATATGTGAGAAGCACATTTCAAATTTTTTTTAATGTGTATCGTTTTATAACGAAATCGAATTAGTTAACAATATTGTTTTTCTACAAAAATGTTTGTCATAAAATACGAATGTGATAAGAAAAATTACAGAAAAACATATTAAAATATAATAGTTGAAGGCGAACGGACGCCTATGATGATGTATATATTATTATGTTTTATCGATATTAGTACCAATTATCAGTGGTAACATTACGGTCAATGTTGAACGTAATAAATTGCGTTTTTTGTCGGGTTCATACTCAATGTAAAATTAAATAAAACACAAGCGTAACTTTCAAAACCCAGACAGATGTTAAAAAAGAACTACACAAAAGTCGATTGTAAGTGGATCCGGCATTATGTTATAAAAAAAAAAAAACAAATATTAAGAATTCGCCTTATTTAAATATTACCGACAATTTTACTTGTAAATTTTGAGCCAGAATTAGAGAAAAAATTTGAATCCTCCCCCCCCTAGAAATAAGTCTAAATACGCCCCTGTTCAAGGGGAAGGCGGCCTATAGTCCCGGATCGCAAGTTGAAAGAGGCCACAATGTATTTATAATTGTTGACTAATAAGTGTAAACCAAACCACTGTTTTGTCAATTAATTGTCACTATACCAAAATTTACAAATATACCTATTTTAATTAATATTTGTTACAAATTTCTAAATCTAAACAAAAAATTAAATTAAAAAAAAAAAAAATTACTAAAAGTAATTGCTCACCCACCTTATATTATGACCATATTCCGGCCCTGCTTATTAACAATAATGTATCATAATAGTCATGTAATTATTAATCTGTTCTCGGGTGTAGCAAGAGTTTAAGTTAATTTAATTGATATTTAAAAGCGATTTTAAAGATTGGAAATGTTTACGAGTGAGAGTACTTTAACCACGAATACATTGAAACCTAATATAATTATAATTATATAATTCAAATTTCAAGTACATATTTTATGATTTGAAGTTGTGTAAAAAATTAACTATAGTTATGGCATTTGAACAGCACATTTTCTGTCTCGAGTTTTTTTTTACATATGCCTTTTTGATAATATCAAAACTTACATTTAACTACAGTATAATTTTACTGACTACATCAAAAAATATACGGACATACTATGTATTCGTATGGCTACCGATGGAATCGTTACGGGCAGTCTAGACGTCACCAAAAACGATTGGGAAGACGGCGTTTTCATACATGACTCACACGCTTAATGATCAAGGTACAAAACGATCTGCTCGTGCGTTTCCAAGCCATTTTACGTACCGGCGCGTTGAAGTGACACCGAAATGAAATAGAATGATGACAAGTCGCGTTTATTTCTTGATTCCGAGTACCGTGATGGCTTAAGTCCTTTTACTTTCGGGACTTTTCGGTCTGCGCCCAGTGTACGGATTCGCGTTCCGTTTCTTTCCGAGCGCTTCTTTACAAGGCACGTTTCGCGGCGCAAAATAAAACGCGCATTTTACTATTGTCACACGTGTACGCACAGACGCGCGGATACGTGTTTTTTTTTTTTTTTTTTATCGTTGTCGCGCTGCGACAACCGGTGGTGCTTAGCTCGCGCGTGAAGTGGATCGACGGTAAAAAAGTACCATGCGAAACAACAAAGGAATATCAAAAAATAAAAAAACAAAAAGAACGCGACAGATGTTTGCCGCGAACCGCAGACGGACACGTGTGTGCCACGCATGTGGCGCGAAAACTTGCGTACCCGAACGGGGTCATGGGAGGAGATGGGGCCCGGAGCTTTCCCGGTCGGGCTCACGCGCGCAACTCGCCTACCCCGTGCACACGCCGAACGTCCGTCCGCCGTAACCGCGTGGGCCGCACGCGCGACATTGGCACCGCTCTCTCGGGATCCGCGACTTGGGTCCGCCCGGAAGCACCGTCATGGACGCCAAGTACAAGTTTGAATTCACCGTGATGGCGTCCGGTCTGTTCATGTTACTGACCGTGTACGAGATGCCGGTGGCCACCTACTTCAAAGTAATATGCGCGTTGAAACCGACACCAATCGACGCCTGTGCCGTCGCGCGATGTTATTTGCCGCACGCGACCGCAGCACATGGCTACCAGGGGCGTATTCAGACTTACTGCTAGGGGCGACTCAAATTTTTTCTTCAATTCAGGTTCAACATTTACAAGTAAAATGTTTGGTAATATTTAAATCAGGCGAATCCTTAATGTTTGTGGTTTTCTTTTTTTTTTTTTTTGCCTGTCCACTTAGAATCGAATTTTGTGTAGTTCTTTTTTAACACCTGTCTGTATTTTGAATGTTACGCTTGTGTTTTATTTGATTTTTCACTTAGTATGAACACGACAAAAAACCCAATTCAGTATTCACAGCCAAGCGTAATTTGATTTGGTTATAAAATGTTCCACATTAAATCAATTTGAAATGTGTATCTCACATATAATCGATTCCTTAAACACGAATTTAGGGTGGGTGATCACTCCTTCGCCTCTTCCCTAAAATACGTCCCTGATAGCTACTCAACCGGAACGGCAGTCTTCGACCGGTGACTCGTGACCCGAAACCGTAAGCTTTAAGATACCAGTTTTCGGTTTGAAATTTAAACAATTCTTATACATTATAATTATACAATATTATATTATATTATAATATGAAACGGTATAAAATTATTTTCCATTGAACCCCAAACTGTACTATTTCGTGAAAGATAAGTACGAACATATTGCGATTCAGCGATAGGCCGACTGTGTTGATAAAACTCAATTATCTATTATTTATCTATAAATTGCATGGTGTGGACTTGAGCCGAGTATTTTGTGTGAAAACATCCAGGGTCAAATATTGCCCAATTTTTTTCATTTTTTTTTTCTGTATCAATAAATTTTTACTGTCGGTTGATTATAATAAAAATGAAATATTACCAAGAAACCTAGAAGAATGTTAATTTTTATTTGTTCAGTTTTAAAAGTATTTGTAAAATGGTGTATATTGAAAAATGTTAACATTTTGTTTTTTTTTTTGTTTTCATGATTAACGAAAATGGGGCACGAGTCAAAAAAGTTGAAGACCGCTGCTCTGAAGGGCATCGATTTAAATTTATTAAAAATGTAATGTATATTAGTATATCCTCGTACACAGCACCGAAATCAATTTATTGATAAACCATATTCGCTCGACCTGAAACTTTAATATTTATACTTACGTTTTCAACTTGGAGAAAAGCCACGCGTATAGGGAAATTTGCCATCCGCATGTTACCCGTTCCAAGCTTTTATGTTAAACTTACCATTAATGTTCATTATCTTCGCGAAAACAATAGACTAAAAATATGTGTCACGTTTTTTCAGAAAATTAGTCTAATTATGGTTAACCTCAGATTACGTACATGTATGCTATTCATTTGAAACGATATTAAAAAGTACGCAGTGTAAAAAATGAATTGGTTATAAGACTAATTAAATAGCGCATATGCAATATTGTCATACTCTATCTGTCTCTCTCTCTCTCACTCTCTATGTCTGTGTGTGCATAATGTAATGAAAATAAATGGTTAAAAATTAAAATTAAACTCTAATACAGACTTGACCCAAATTACATATTAAAAACTCTATTCCTATCTCATACATATTATATTATTATATCATATTCTTAATACTTTGAAATAAATTTCTTTAAAAAACCGTAATACCCGCTGTAATTAAATTAATCGGGTAAATTGATTCATTTTTCATATTTCCCGTAAAATTTATACAACCCTAAATCGTCTGTACAATATTGTAGAGCTCTGCGCCGTGATCCAAACTGATAATCATTAGGATTGCATTAATATTATAACGAAATTTTTGGGTTGATTTAAGAAGCCCTTTGTGCTGGAGTACATCCGACCAACTATGAACCACTGGATTTAGAAAAAAAAACTGTATAAAAGAAGTAGTTAACCGTAATAATAGAGGAAAAGACTTGCCGAATATCATTGCACTATGTGAACTAATTCAAAAATAATTAAAATTTAGTTAGTAGTTGATGTGTTTGCCAAAAAAAACCGTTGTAATTTATCGTGAAAATGCCTGAAGTTTAAAGTCGACAACTTTCCAAGGTAAAGTTATAAAGTACAAGAACAGTTATCGTTATTTGTTTTGCTGGTATTAATAAATTAAAATTATAATAGTGCCTATACAGTAGGTGCTGCCGTATACATCAGAAAGTTTATAGTCATACTTCGCTGTAATTACATTTACATAGCTTGTTTATTCTCAATGCTACTGGATATAAATCCCGCGTGGTTTAATTAATTACTAAAATATGCCTGCCGATAAATCTTTAAAAAAACATCATCAATTAAAGAATAGTCAATTAAGAAATGGAATGTACTTTCCGTCAAGAACTATTCGAATAAATGTAAATGTACTGAACTTGGAAGGAACTCAATGTAGGTCAATTAAATAAGCAGGAAAGACGAAATGTTTGAAATTAACTTGTTTTTAGAATAGGAAAGCTGCATAGATATCAGATTTTTAATTTGATACCCCGTGTTAAAATTATCTAGAACCATGCCTGACTAAAATCAAACCGAATCCAAACCAAAATCTTATTTTGTTACATATGTTATACTATTTGGGCAGGACTGATAACAAGGACGATTCTTAAAAATTGTAATCTAACTACACCAGATCGATTTAACACTTCGGGCACAAACATTAATTTCAAACATTTCATTAACTACACGAGAGCATTATCAATTGTGTACTGTAATAATATGAGTTTGTTGCAAATATTTTTTGAAACGGTAAATACTAAATATCCGTACTGACGATTTCTTGAGACAATGAGATTATTTGTGTATGATTTATAATTTTATTACTACATAGTTTTATAAGTTAAGCGTATCTCAATACGTATTCCTCATTTGTCTTATTTAAATAACAATTCTCGTTTCAGAGGCCTTTCGTAGTAATGGTGGTAGTGATGATATTTAAGTATTGTTTATCAACACAAATTAAATGGTTATAGAAACACGAACAAAATGATTATTTTCTTAATATTCGTAAATGATTCAAACAATAATATATATTATATTGTTATATAATAATTATATAATATAAATTATATTCTTAACAACTTATGTTGTGTTACATAAGACATTTTAATAACTCCACGGGTGGATATTGATGTTAGGAATTTTTTCTTCAGAGGTTTAATTTCCATCGGTGTTCAAAGTACATAATTCGGAACGCACACACGTAGATAGAAAACGGTGTTTTCTCCCTAGCGGGTCTTCATTATGATTTGTTAAACAGCTACGTACATAGGTAAAGGTACGTCGCTCAAGTTATTTATTTATCAGATGTCACACTACACGAGTTTTTTGCGGCCTACTGTGCAAAACATGCCAAACATCAGTCCCGTAATCAACTTTCTTAAGTTCATTTTTAATTGGACTTTTTTAACTTAGATCAGTGATGCCCAACGTAGGTGCAGCCGTCCCATTGAGAGTATTTTAAGTTTTAAGTAGAGCAATTTGTATGTTACTTATCAGGTCGAAAAACATAATTACGGTTCAAAAATTTCTCAAACAAATCAAAATAACCTATTAGAAATACGTGTTAAAGAAGATTTTATACTAATTCTGACATCCATTCAGCTAAATATACTTTGATTAGCAGAAAACATTAGATTCAAAACATTCAATAATCACATAATAATATTTTTTCCGGATTATCTTATAGAAGACAATTCGAAATTATATTTTAGTGTTCAGATATTTGTAAGTAAATCATTTTTATAGTGTAATTTCTTTTTTTTTTTTTTTTTGACTTTACTTGAATATTTGATTATAAATATTAAACTATCGCTTTTTTTAAAAAAATAAATAAACGAGGGCGATAAGGGATTTTTGAAAATCTCAAGAAGTCGTTTGTAAACAAATATTTGGAAACATGGACCGAGACTACCATATGGTTTACCGTCTTTAGATGAAAGTTTAATTATTATTTCATAGTTATTTCATAGTATCTATTGAAACAGTCTAGGGGATTAAAATAATTTTATGCACTTTTCGTCATTAAATTTTAAAAATATATTCGAATTCTTATCATTAGATAATCGACTATAGATAATATATACTATAGATATTGATACCTATCAATATCGATGCTTTTAAGTAATATAGATATATTTAAATACACGCGTGAGGTGTTTTGCGGAATATTCGGGTCGTTTTGTTGCAATTCAAAAATCAAGTAGACAGTACGGTTTAAGGAAAAAATCGGAACCATCACTTTTTGTTCAACATAATACGAAATCGACGGTTATAAATAAACGTTAATAATTTTTTCGATTTTTGCTTTCTATTTATTTTCTTTTTTAAACAGTAGTAGGTGAGAATTCGTTTAGTTTACGTTATGTAGTATCGTACGGTGACGAATAGTTCACGAATCTAAAACGGTATTTGCAACAAAGAATCTCTGCGCACCTTCTCGGCACACCAGACGAATGCGTATACATTGTAGAGTACATTCGCGTACTGATTTACGACTACTAACGCGATTTGTTTACACGGTGATCCAACCAATTGATAATGTGATCACGATAAATCATCTTTTCGTAAAACAACGCATCGTAACGTAGGGCGCACCGCCTAACCAATGAATGCACCATTCAGGGATTATTCTAAGGATTTTTATCAATTACGCATTTTTTTTAAATAAGCCTATCGAAATATAATTATGATCTCAAAAGATACTGTTAAATTATTGTTAAAAATTATAAAATTTGTAGCCTTTATGGGAAGTAATTTAAAATGTAACCCATTTAAGAGATAAAAAATAATTTACAATCGTGTTGAAAATATTTTTTTTAATAAATGTCCTTTTAATTTTGTTCATAAATCATAATGTAATGTATAAAATAACACTATTAATTTAGACATTCAATTAAAAATCAATCACGCAAAAGTTTATTATCAAGTGCGTATCTTAGCTTTTCCAAATACGCGAAATAAGCCCAACTGCGCTTTAGAATAAGGCCTGGGTGCATCCAACGATCGTGGTAGTGCCCAGTGATGGTCCAAAACGGCAAGTCGTACACTTTTCCGTAGACCAACATCGCACACTTTCATGCCCCCCCCCTCCAAGGTTTCGTTTTCAGCTTTTGATTATCGGTCAGATCGAATTAGTTGTCGAGCGCGTTTAGTCGAGGTCTTCGGTTCGAAATATTGATATGATCATCATGACGACCGGTCTGAAAGGAAAAACGTCTACCCAAGCCGCGTCTCACCGAAATTCTCATGCATCCCCGCGTTCATATCATCGGGGACATAAAGTTGACACAATAATATACTACGGATTTCGATAGTCTCTTCCCGCCCCGTCATTTTCGGTGGAACGGTAAAAATGTGTTTTGTATAGCTCGCCGAAATAATTATTTTGTCATTTAAATATATCCAAACTATGAATCAGTGCAGCAAACAATCTTTATGGTCGGGAAAACGTTCAATACGATATGTATACAAACGTGTATTGTATAGGTAATCCGTTTATGCTTGAGAATACCTAGTCAAATAATAACGTTCAATACGACTCGGTATGATCTATGATCATCAGAATTCCTCGTGTTACCATTTTGAAATCATCGAAGAGGATACTAATACGTTGTATTGTTCTCGATCGTTTTTACTGATCGGTACCTCGTAGGGCATCGCATACTCAGCCCTAGTTATAATGCATGCAGCCGGGTCTTTTTGTGTCCTGTGCACTAACTGAAGTGATAACGAACGCGTTCGCAAGTGCGGTACGACTTTTATTAGAAACGTAGAAATGAAACGTGTACGGTTCGACGGCCGATACGTGTGCGCGGTATTCCTTTTGGCGCGAACACGGAACGTTCGACAAACGTATCAATCATGTTTTCTGTTCGAGAGTTTCCTTTCGAAATTTTTTATAATATTTTATTCGTTTGCGCCATTAAATGACAACGTTCTACGTCAAACGTTCTAACGGCTGAAAATTAACGCTACGGGTAGGGTACGCACGATTGCTCGCCCGACTCGCAGCGGTCATTCGCGCGCACGTTTTTCCATCGGAACGGATTGCTCTATTGAAGTATAGTCTGTTGTTTATTACAGGTGTTTCCAAGGCGTTGCCGCTCAACTGCTGATGCCTTTGATTTTGCAAATGTAAGTAAAATATGACTTGTTACGAACATAACGCGATCGCACGATGGTGGACTGACCCGCCGATCTACCCCGTTCCGTAAGGATCGTAGGCTCTCGTAATATGGGGTGAAGGGGCGCTTTGTCAATTAAAAATGTATTACGACGTACCGATTATAATGAACGTTATAAACCGATGTCGGTTTGAATTTAAATTTCGAAAAATATGTCATGCTCGTATTATGTGGCACTTATCCGTTACACGGGCACAGACAAATAAGTGTATATAAGTGGAAATAATAAAATGTAAAAAAAAAAAGTAATTGTTTCTCTAAATATACCGAAAGCGGGGCCTTCTACAATCCCTATGACGCACGGAAATATATGCGCACAATATTAACGTCCGACTACAAGGTCGTAACTGGAAAAAAAATTCGGGGGGGTCTAAAATTATTATTTAATACAATTTATAGTTAATAAACTATATTCACCGCTAAAATGTTTCTACTTTTGAAAATTTAGGGGGGGGGGGTCCGGACCTCTGGACCCCCCAGTTACGGATTTATCCGACTACGTTCCTATATTATGATACATACCATAATTAACCATATTATGACATTAATATGAGATTAATGTTATAATATGATTTTTAGGCAAAATAAAATTGTAAGAGGTATCTATCTAATTAAATAATTGGGATTTTACAGTTCGCAAGGACAAAAATGTATTAAAAAATTTAAATTTTAGAAAAGCCTGGGGGGAATGGTCCCAGTGCCCCCCCCCCCTTGGAGCCGTGTCTGGTTTACCATGTGTCAAAACGTAAAAGCATGTCCTACGACAACGCGTTGCTCCAAAATATTACAAACTATATCATGACCGTAACGGTCGGTTGATAATATAATACGAAATAAGAGATTACGGTTATCGAGAAGTACCCTTCGGGCACGAATAGCTTTGCACAATTAAATGTTATTCAAACGTTCGTTTCGATAGCGGTTTATTTTGAACAGGCATTTAATGTAATCGTAGAACTGATACACTAATTAGAACTAATGTTACGCATCGCGTTATATAGAAGGCAACATGCGTTTATTATGTCTTAAGCTTGAGCAAAAACAAAGGAATCAAGTTTAACATATTACGTCGGGACAAAATAATATTGCTCGGTAGTTTGATGAAACAGAAATAAATAAATACTTACACTTCGGAAACAGTTTTTAATTTTCTTTTACCCTTGTAGCATTGATAAGAATATTGACATTTTGTTGGATAAAAAATTAGTTAATCAGTGATAAATGTCTTCTTAAAATAAAATATTTTATTTTATTTATTTATTTATTTTTTTTTGATTCAAAATTAGATTACTGTAAAAATCAATAACCATAAAACAGTAACGACTTACAATAGCAAAACCGTGTTTAGTAAAAAAAAAAAAAAATTAAAAAAATTAACTTGTAAAATTAATAATTATTATCTAATTTGTTATTAAATGTGTTAATAATAATTACTCAACAGTTTTAATAAAGTGCAGAATAATTGTGTCTATCGAAGGTTTGTCATTATGTTGAAGGTATGCCAAACTTTCTATTATTTCTTCACTCCAATTACTTAGATTTCGAAACACGTAGTTCGAAAGACTATGGTGGAAATAAAAATTTAATTTGATGTGTTTCTTAAGTATCATCAATGTTAACAGCGTGAAAAAGATTTTAAAAATCTTCCAAAATAACAAATCAGTTAAACAATTTCTTATTGTATTCGCTACTTTAAAATTGACTTGTGTGCATTGGCCTTTTTGTAGGATATACTGTTTTATGCTTTGACAAAGAGAATATTTTACTACATTGAAAATTGTTAAATGAATACTTAGAACTAAAGTATATTTGAAACTATACTTGAAAATTTAATGTTAATCAGTATAATCGAAATGAAAATCTTAGTATACAGGTACTACAACAAGATATTCGAAAAGTTTGTTTCTAAAAAGCAAGACACTTAACAAATTACTAATAAACTTACATAAATGTATTAATATAAATTTGCTAAACATTAGAACCTAAGTATATATATTTATTACTTTGGTATTATTTAATATTTATCATGACATTTATTTATTTTACTTTGCACAACGGTTTGCAATGCAAATTGCATAGTTAAACTTTATCCTGATAAATTTTTATGATTGACCACTAAATAATATCACAATATGTTGGCAGTAACGATTTATCGACAAAGGAAAGTTTTCATCCAGAAAACATACATAAACATTCGATATATTAAAATATCGTTTTCCGTTCACGTCCTAAGTTAACTAAAAGTATTAAAAATTCACTAAAAATATTCTATAGTTGACTGACAAAAATCATATTTTGTAATTTCTTAGCGTAAAATGTAAGTTAAAAATATCACTCGAACAAAACGTAAAACCTTGATCTAGTTAAAACATACGTCAATCTGATAATTACGGTCGTAATTAGTTTTATATTTAAAAAAAAAAAAAAACATATTCACAAGATACATATTTTCGTACGCTAAATTTTAAATACTAGTAAACGAATGGGTTATGGACGGTAATATTCTTGATCAACGTAAACGGGAAAGTATATTTATTCACAAAGGAAAGTTATCACGATATTAAGACTACGCAAAAATATATTACGGACAAAAAATATTGCCAGTATTGAAGGCCAAAATTATAAGTTAAAAATTTGCTTATGGTTACCCGGAGATCAACCGAATTCTTATATTAGATTTTCTAGTTTGCAGTGCTATTACATGCTACTTTGAATAGTCGGAGAAAAAATCCATATTCGTACATATGTGTTGGTTTAAAAAATATTTTTAATAAATCGTCTGTATTAACGTGGATTTTTCTTGAATTTAATAACTGTACAATAAAACAACTGTATTATGGCTTTTGATCAGATCAGATCACTATAATCTTCGTTGGTTAATAATTATAATGTATTATACGTTTGAATGCAATCTAATATTTGAAAAAATATTATATTATATTAAACGGGCACTTGCGTACAAAGCCATTTTAAAAATAATACGTAAACATTTATATTTTCAGATGATCAATATCATACGAGATTTTAGGGAAATTCTATAATTCTACATTCTGAGCGAAAAATAAATCGATTTTATAAGGAAGTTTTTTTTTCCATTATTAACCACGACGTAACACCCATTGGTATTGGGGTTGAATGTGTTGTAGAAGTTAAACAAACAATATATTATTATGTCCTTATGTCCATTGAACGGAAAAATGTGAAAAACGAAACGTGCGCGAGAAGCCATATAACAGGTTCTTCGGAGTATGATTCATTGCGCTGCTTTTTGACCGCCTATCGCTACATATATATATTACATATTATTAAATTATTTGGTCGTCGATTGCGTAGAATTACGAATGACACACGATTTTATGGTCAACGTTCTTAAAATAGAATTTTTTCCCGTAAACACGTAAACTGCACGTAGCTACTACTGTAGTTATTTACAAAAGTACAAACAGGTTATTATGTAAACGATACGATAATTGTTTAAACATGCGTTAATTAGAGTGTGTTAGTTTTTACAATATTAGAACAAAAGGGAGAGAGAACCGTGTTGATAGCGAGGAAGATAGCACTCGGCGATGATCTATTTGGGTTATATATATATAATATTACGATATATATAATAATACGATTTGTACGAAACTCACGATTTTTGTTCTCGTTTCACTAAAGTGTAACATGATAACATGATCGATGTCGTACATTTTATAGTGATGCTTTTTAATGGCGAAAATGGTGTTCAAAACTATAAAAAAAATGGCATTAATAATATCGATATACCATATATTAAAACGGTTTTCCTTTGAACATTTATTGTTTTAGTTTTGGTTTTAATAATACGTATAGTAGGACAATATTTTCATAGCATAAGCAAAACATAAAAAATTGTATTAGACAAATTTCGAAGTACATAAAAAAAGAAAAACGGTACATAAATAATATTTTATGGCGGATAAAAGGCTGCATGGGAAAAGAAAAAAATTTTTGTTGTAAGTAATTTTTCCAAAGAAAATTTCTAATTTAAATTTCATATTTCAAAACGAATAATCGTTCTCGAAGTCACCGTGAAAAATTATTAATCGGTGAACTAATAATAAATTACCTAGGGGCATTTAAAGATTTTACTGTCGATTTCTTATTCAAAGTTTTTTTGTTGTCTAAGCGAATAATATAATCGTCAAATGAAATATAACGCATACGAAAATTGTGTTTCAGAACACTTATCATCTCGTTTTCGACTATTCAATTTAGGTGGTTTAAAATGAGAGTATACGGTCGAATTAAAAACATTATCCTTAAAACATTTCGTAATAAACTCGTATAGTTGTTTATGAACGGGAAATCGGACGGAGGGCGAATAATACACGTCACGTGAACCGCTGCAGTGTACGAAATAAACTTTAATTGGGTACCAAAACGATATTGAGTCCGTCCAAAACAATGAACCGTTTAAAACTGTTATTAATTCTATAAATAGTCGGGCAGTTACTAATTTACGACACGGTTAATAATTATTTGGCGTTAACGAGTAAACATGGCACGCGTATTTTTCTTTTACGTGACATTTATTGCTTTATGCCTAACTGTTACGCGACTTACACTGTGAAGCGCTTACGTTGAATGCATTTCGAAAAGAACACATTGCAATACTGCCGTGTAAGCGTTCGTAAGAACTTTACAAAAATCGCAGGATTAAATGTGACGTTTTAAGAACAACAAAAACACAAAAATAATAATGAACTACGCCGAACGTAAAAAAAAAAAAAAAATGTGTCCTTATTAAAATGCGCAAAGGAACTGTGGAGGTGGTTCGATTTTCGTTCACGTTAACGGCTGGCGATAATATAATGTATCACGTCGTTCACGAGAAGACGCCAAATTGCCTTTCCGCCGTTAACAACGTCGCCCTATCGTACGGTATTACGCGCGGAGACCGTAAACGCCGAGAAAATACATTTT